TGAAGACCCTCCTTAAAAACCTAAACAGGGGAAGGAAGCGAAGCCCCCCCCCCCCCCCCCCCCCCCCGGTGGCCCCTCTTTAGAACTGTGATTTTAGGCATGGTGTTGCTCCTGCTGCTCTGGATGCAGTGGTAATACTCTTTGTCCTCTAGGGTCTGCAGATGATGAGAGAATCCTGAGGTTCCTGGAGCTGGCTGGGCTGGTGAGTCATTAAGGGAGCTGACTGGAGCCTAGTGGGGTTGCTCCATCTCTGTCTGACTGTGGGGACACTGTGGTGTCTGGTGTATCCCAGCCTGGTGGCACTATACAAGGATATACAGGTCTCACTGAGCAGAGTTGCTGTCCCTAATCAGGACAGAACCCTCCCTTAGAAATCAGCAGATTAAGCACAGTGCTGGAGAGTGCTGCTGAGGAGGTAGAGATGTGTCAAGGACAGGGGTGACCTGGACGTGAAAGATGGGTGTTGCAGGATGAAAGTGATAGATGGGGATCATAGCCTGAGGGAGGTGACTTTAGCCAAAGGAAAGCAGGGGCTGGCAGTGGGAAGAGGAGAGCAGCAGGGAGGAAGGGAGATATGTTCAGGACTGTTTTGTGCTCTCTCCTGTCTGTGCATCTACAGTCTGACTTACTAGCAAGGACAGGAGGTCTGGACCAGCAGGTGGATTGGAACTGGTAAGGCTGCTACATTATCTACAAGTGAGTTTGTGTAGGTCTTGGTGGTGGTGTGGATGAGTCCTAAGCCCCCATATACACCTGGTTCACAAGTGGCATTTTCTCTGCCTCCATTGAGGCAAAGGAGAGATGAACAGTACTGGGGAACAAAGATGTCAGCTCAGCATTGTGGGTCAGGACCTGCATCCCCTGCTGTTATGTTAAAAGTGGATAGTCTTATGTGTGTTCAGTTACCTCCAAGATGATCTAACATCCCTGGGGCTGCAGAGCCACTCCTGAGTTCTGGGCCTAGTAGCTCTGGATGCTGTGCTGGGGAGGGGAGATAACTTCGAGCCTGCTTCTCTGAAGAGGTGCTCTCATGATTCTCCACTGCTGATTGGTGGTAATTCTCGTTCTTGGTCTTGTTGCAGGTATGATATCCTGTCCCCAGGGGAGATGCAGAGACTCTCATTCACCCGACTCTTCTATCTCCAGCCCAGATATGCAGGTGAGTAGTTCCAGGCTGGAGAAGAGCAGGACCCTTCATGGCCCTGGAGGAGTGAAGTGGCGGAGGCTGTCTACAAAATTCCTTTTTCTTTGCTAGCAACATCCTGGGTCCCTTGTGCCATCTGAGTCATGATTGAAGCAGGTTCTTAGAAAGACTGTTTAAAGTTTTAAATCAGCAGACCCTGATGCCCTCCACCCACGGGAGTTGAGAGAGCTGGTGGAGGTCATTGCTGTGCCCTTGGCGCGGCTGTATGAGTGATCAAGGTCCACGGGTCAGGTGCCCAGAGATTGGAAACTAGCTAATGTGGTCCCCATTTATAAGAAAGGGAGAAAGAAGTACACAGGAAACTATAGGCCCATAAGCCTCACATTGGTCTTGTGGAAAATCCTTGAAAAAATTATCAAGGATCACATCTGTGAGGGGCCAGCAGGGGAGATCATGCCCAGGGGAAATCAACATGGGTTCATCAAAGGCAGGTCCTGCCAGACCAACCAGATGGCCTTTTATGACCAGGTAACTAAATCCCTGGATGATGATGGTGTTGCCGTGGATGTAGTCTTTCTGGACTTTAAGTAAAGTCCTTTGACACTGTCTCTCACTCCATTCTCATTAATGAATTGAGCGACTGTGGCATTGATGCCTACACAGTTGGATGGGTCAAAAATTGTCTGATGGGGTGCACCCAGAGAGTGGTGGTGGATGGATCATACTCAACCTGGTGGGATGTGAATAGTGGGGTCCCCCAGGGCTCAGTCCTGGGGCCTACACTGTTCAACATCTTCATCAGCGACTTGGACGAGGGGGTGGAAAACATGTTGTCCAAGTTTGCCGATGACACCAAGATGTGGGGAGAGGTAGGCACGCTCGAAGGTAGAGAGAGGCTGCAGTTAGATTTAGACAGACTGCAGAAGTGGGCAGATGGTAACAGTATGGGGTTCAATGTAGATAAATGCAGGGTGCTGCACCTGGGGAGAAAGAATCCACAACATATATATAGGCTGGGGAGCTCCCCCCTTGTGAGCACAGAGGCGGAATGGGATCTTGGAGTCATTATTGACTCCAAGATGAACATAAGCTGCCAATGCCAGACTGGAGCCAGCAAAGCCAACTGCACCTTGTCGTGCATCCAAAGATGCATCTCAAGCCAGTCCAGAGAGGTGATACTCACCCTCTACGCGACATTGATCAGGCTACAACTAGAGTACTGCGTCCAGTTCTGGGCACCGCACTTTAAGAAGGATGTGGCCTGCCTTGAGAGGGTTCAGAGGAGGGCCACTCGCTTGGTTGGAGAGCAACAGGGCAGGCCCTTTGAGGAGAGGGTGAGAGACCTGAATCTGTTCAGCCTCAGCAAGCGGAGGCTGAGGGGGGGATTTGGTGGCGGCCGGAAACTCGTTAGGGGAGATCAGCAGCAAATAGAAAGGGCCCTATTCCCCTCAGCAGCACCTGGGGTGATGAGGAACAATGGCCAGAAGCTGCTGGAGACTAAGTTCAGGTTAGAGATTAGGAGGCGCTGTTTCACTGTTAGGGTGGCTAGGATCTGGAACCTACTTCCTAGAGAAGTGGTCCTCGCTCTTGTCGTGGGTAAATTAAAAAAGAGGTTGGACAAACACCTGTCTGGGGTCATGTGATCCCAGCGTGTGCTTCTACCAGTGGCAGGGGGTCTGACTAGATGATCTGTTCAGGTCCCTTCTGACCCCAAACTACTATGAAACTATGAATAAGTTAAGGGTGTGTGGGGGGGTGTGCATGCACATTTCCCCACAAAAGGAAATTTGAAGTGAAGTTTTTTGCCCTAGGTCTAACTATGCCTTGTAACTCTCTGTGCCCAGCAGATGCCCCATGAATACACATAAATCTCAGTGTGTTGTTCATTTATAGTCCCAGACCAAAAAGTAGCAAATACCTCTCCTGTTAGACACAGAAGAGCAATAAAGGACAAATTAAGGGGCAGGAGAACCTGGCCTACCGCTGGGAGCGCTGTCTACATATGGGTCAGTAGTACTTTTCCACAAATGTATTAAAATATCTGGCTGTGATCAATGACTGCTTCTGCCCCCCTAAGCTCATCAGGACTGCATGTCTGTGTGGGCCCCTCTACACACACAGGTGAAGGCATGATAGGATCTACTGTGCAGTCCACACAATGACACCTGCCATGCTACATGTGCATGGCAGAAGGCACAATTGTGGAATCATGCATTAGAGCCCATTGCACTTCCTTGCTGGTGCAGGGGGAGCCTCGGATCATGATCCCAGGTCCCCCTTATGCCAGCTTCTGTGGCTATGAGTCCTGCAGTTGTCAGGGCTCACAGCAGGGCAGCACGGGGCATGCTGCCGCTGCTATGAGCCCCACATCTCAGGTGGCTCCCAGCAGTGATGGGGCTGTTCTCACTATGAGCCCTGCAGCCAAGGAGGCTCACACAGGGGGCAGTGTTCTCCTACTGCAAGCCCTACAGCTGACAGTACTGCCATCACTGCAAGACTTGTCATCTGTGAGGCTGGCAGTGAGTAGTGCTCCCCTGTGGCTGGGGGCCCCTCAGTTGATGGGGCTCCCAGCCACAGGGGGAGCCCTTGCCCACGTTTGATTAACGGTGTAATTAGAACAAGCTACAAAGTTATTACACATTGTTTGTGGCATAACTTTGTAGCTTATTGCTTATTTTATCACACCGTTAATTGGTTGAATGTGTAATTGGGTCACAACTTAAGGCATGATTACCTGGTTAATCATGCCTTAAGTCTAATGCGTAGAGGGGGCCTGCATTACTGTTCATGAAGCACTTGGTTACTGTGGAGGGGAGCACCACGAAACAATTAATTTCCTCATGGGCTTTTCCCTCTGCAGAGAGAGATTTGAGTAGCGTACAGTAATTCAGGACTGAGGCAACATGCTAAACAATGAGGCAAGAGCACAACCTTGAATAGTAGCTCAATAAATAGTGTCATCCACCCTGAATGAGGCAGGGTCCTGTGGAGAAAAATACCGTGTAGCTGAACAGCATGTCCTAACGTATACTACACCAGAGGACTGAATGTAAATTCCACAGGCCAGCTTAATTCTACCATATCCTAGCTTTAAGTACTGGATGTTGCAACCTTTAACGATGTTCTTTAGCAGATTTTGATGTGCAGCGTGGGAAGTAAGTTGTGCGTAATTCTTTGTTCTGTGCTTATACAGAACCAAAATAGCTCTGGATAATTACAGTGTTGGGCGTCTTTGAAGTTGCACAAATTACAGCCTTTTCTCTAATCCACAGCAAAATTGTAGTTAGGAAGAAAGTGTCTGTGACTTTTCCACCAGATTGACTTCCCTACCAAGGCTAAAACTCCCACATTTATTATTTGAAAGTAACACCTGGTAGAGTAGCATGTTGTACTTTGGCAGCATGCATAGCTGTGACCTATATTTGAGGGAAGGCTGAGGTGGAGGGAGTGAAGGGTGTTGAGTAGAGGGACTAGGGGAAGAGAATGTGGGTGGAAAGTAATCTCATCTTCAGCTTTGTCTTATGCTGCCTGTTTGCCAATGAATTTCTTTTGGTTTCTATATGTTTTTAGCAAAAGTCTCCCAAAGTTCAGCCTGGTCTGTCAGTGAAACTGATAGCCCCACTTAGTACAACTTCTCATAGAGAAACATTTGAAAAATGTCCAAATCTATACTTGGGGAAATTAAACTCTTTCCCATGCTGATGGCTGTTACAGCCACAGGCTCCATGTTCTGTAGTGTCCTGGGGTCCATCCTTTAGCTGTTGAATAGCGCTTTGGGATCTGAGCTTGCATTGAATACGATTCTAGCCCAAATAGCTGTGAAGATAAACTTAAACTTAAAAATATAACATTTAAAACATTCAGTAGTGCCTTTGTCAGCCAGTAGCCTGAACCAGTGGCTCTGCCCCATTTATCGTCTTGGTGTCAGCTGTGAAATCCCCAGAAATGCATTTAAATGGCAGCCTAGTTGACTCTTCAGATGGATGTTTCTGTTAAAATGACCAGCACTGAAAGTACTTACATCAGAGTCTCTGACTGTGTCTCATCTAGCTGCCAGTACCTGTAGTGTTTTCCCTGCAGCTTCTGTAACTTCAGGTTTGTCATGTTAGTGCAGAAATCGTTGGCCTATTGAAAACTGAAAATTATAGAGCAGTGTAAAATGAACTCAGTTCAGTATCTAAGCAAGTGTCTGGGAGCTCCAGGATGGAGCCATCCATTAAAAATCCTCCATTTTTTAAAATTTAAAGGCAGCTACTGCAGTTTCCAGTGTGCTGCCAAATCCAGAGATCTTGCCAATAGAATTGAGGTTCAGCTTGTAGTAGAAGTGGATAGGGCTGGGTTCTACCTTCCCCAGGGTTTGCAGCCTGGGAGGCCCTTTCCCAGGTCACCCTGGTTTCAAGGTGTTTGAAATACAGACCCAAAGGCTTCTGGTGCTCAACCCGTTCCCAAAGCAGACGGAGTTTAGAGCACTCCTTTGTACCCTGACAAGTCTCTTCTCCCTTCAATATCACTAGGGCTCTGTGGCCCAGAAATCAATTGGACATATCTAGGGGGCAGCTGATAAGTTCCCTCAGCTGCTTCTGGGTTAAAAGAGAGGTGGCAGCTGGCTGTTGCAGAGGGGAATACATGAGATGAGCAGGGATCCCTCTGGAGGACCAAGTTTCTTTTCAAGATCTCTGCCTTGGTCCTCTTGTGCCTTTTGTAGTTTGCCTGTGAGCCATCAGTGGGAGATGCTGGCACTGAGAGCTCCATGCCATATTATAAGCCAGATGCTCATTTACCAGAGTCCTTATGGAAAGGAGCAGAAGTTGAAGGTTGGAGGGCGGGGAGGGGAGGCGTGATGACAGGTCCAATCAGCTACAGTCTTCTGTGCTGATGGGACTTCCTGCTTTTTCTTTCAGTGTTGGATGAAGCCACCAGTGCCCTGACAGAAGAGGTGGAGCATGAGCTGTACCGTACATGCATTCGTTTGGGCATGACCCTGATCAGTGTGGGACATCGCACCAGCCTGGAAAAGGTGAGGGAGATCCATTCCTCTCAGCCCTTGGGACAGCTGGCTCTTGGCCTACATGTGACTTGGGTCACAAAGGGCTGACGGATTCATCTTTTGGGAGTGGAAGATCAGGGGGTTGTACAGTGAGGTGTGCATGTGAGAGACCTCTCTTCACTCTTTGAAACCATTGTGCTTATTTGTGCCTGCTCTTTGAATTGCAGTTTCACAGCTGGATCTTGAGACTCTGCGGAGGAGGAAGGTGGGAGCTAACAAAAAATGAGGGCACAAAGTGTCTCCCAGCCAACAAGGAATGCTGACAAAAATGCCAAAGCTTCCAGTGGCTCCCTTCCTCAGGAGAAGCAGAAACAACTTGCCTTTCAGCAGATAACCTGCTTGGTAGATGTGGAACTGCTGAGCTAGTGAGTCCTCCATAGGGAGGATGAAGGCTTCTGGAAATACCCTGAAGGAGCCAGAGCTGAGTTTTTTCTGCTTTGTCCAATCTGCTTCTGGGGTGGAGCTCACAGGAGAAGAGACTACTGCCTCAAGTCTTCTGCAACTGGATTCCCATATCTTGCCTGCCAGTGTGGGTAGGGAAGGAACCCAGTTTGTTTGCTTTGAGAGGAACAACTCAGGACCCTTACCCACTAGGTCTGTGGTGACAAAGCAGATGGCAGTCTCTGGTGCTGCATGGAAGCAGTTCACAGTACTTTCTGCTCTGGGCTGGCCCAACGGGATCACAACCTTTGCTGAACCTCTTTATCTGTGCCAGATGTGGTTCCAGCCTCCCTTCCTGGATAGGCAGCTCTGTAGGGCAGGGCTCATTGTCACTGCTAAACCAGCAGTTGGTTATTCCAGTGGAAGCATAAAGAAAAGAAAAAAACTATGCATTTTTCTTCAGTACTGAAGCCATGTCACAAGTCAGCTGAAATACTTTGTATTAAAACCTTAGTAGCCCAAGGGTTAAATGTGTCAGCGTTTTATTAACCAGGCTAGGGAGGTGATGGAATAGCTCTGCTCTTCTGTCTTTGCATTGACAGAGTTATGCAGCAGCTGGAAGAATAGAATGCAGTTGGAGGATTTGGGCACCACCATCAGTCATGCATGGGTGTACTGGACTGGGGAGCCTTGCTGAATAGGAAGCCTCCATCCCAGAACTAACCAACCTCTGCCCCCTTCATTAGCTACAGTCAGGGAATGTCTTTATAACAGCCTCATGTAAGGGCATGCCACCCTCAGCTGCCCAGTGAGGAAGCATTTCCTGTCATTCTGCTACTGTGCCCATCTGCTCTCATGGAATCTACTTCTCAGATGCATGTCTTCCTGTTTCGCTGCAGCAGCAATCCCTGCCACCCCAGATAGTGTCAGCCTCTCAGGGGGACTGTGGGTCTTCAGCAGCCGTGGGTGAGAGGTAAAGCTGACTCACTGGTACTTAATAACTGGCTTTTTCTGTGTCTGGTGCCAATTTGGTGGGAGTAACGGGAAAGGAAACAGGGAGCCTGCTGAGTGTGCTGCTGTTACTGGCCTCGCTCCCCTTGCAGGAGGCATTTATGCTCCTCAATGATCTTCTGCACAGCCTCGTAGTCCTCCAAGGTGGTCAGGTCCCCAAGCTGGTGGGCCTTGTTCTCTACAATCTTCTTCAGCACACGACGCATAATCTTCCCTGAGCGGGTCTTGGGTAGCCTGCTCGTGACCTGGGATCAAAGGGAGTAGAGTAAGAATTAGAGTCTGAAGCTGTAGCAACCAGGGTAGGAGTAGTGGGGAAGGGGCTTCAGCTATGCTGTGCCAGTCCTGTAGGTATGGGGCAGGCAGGAGGTTCAGGGCCAGGCTTGCAGGCTTACCTGAACATACTCTGGGGCTGCATATTTTGCAATCTTCTTGGAAATCAGCTCTTGGAGATCAGCTGTTAGAGTCTCACGAGAGATATCAATGCCCTTTTTCAACACAAGGAACACGTAAACCCCTGCCAAAAACAGATGACATTACTTATTCATGTACCAAGCCATGCAGGGCTCAGATACCCTGAAGCTGATGTTTCCCAGCCTGCAGCAACACATAAGCTGTGGATGCTGAGATGCAGCTGGGACTTCATTAAAGTTCATTACCACACCATCTCCATGACATGTGGCAGTAAAAAGCTGATGCTTTTCCCAAAGCAGTGTGTTTCCCTGTTGGGGTATGTGGAATCAACAGCCTGGAGATGCATCTTCAGTACTAGCCTAGGGCAGGTCCTTTGTACCCCAAGCTATAGACACCTCTAAATATAAAGGACTGCCAGAGCCTTTGACCTTTCCTGCTCCATGCAGAATCTACTCAGTTGTGTCCCTTGTGTTGACTTCCATGCCCTCCCTATGGACTGGGCATCACTATAAGGGAAGACAGACAGAGGAACATGTGCCCTGCATGTTCCCCATGACCCACATTTAAACACAGCCAGCCTGAGTATGAAGCCTCCAACCACAATCCCCAGCAGCACACAGTGGGGACTATGGTTGTAAGTGAATGCCTCACCTTCCCCTTTGATGTTGTGAGGGTAGCCAATCACAGCTGATTCTGCCACTGCTGCGTGCTGATTCTGGAACAAAACAGGTCTGCATTTCACTTCAGCAACCCTGGCAGGCTGGCTGCAGCCTGCGCTGCTGGATACTAGCCTGGCACAGCCAGCTGTAACGCAGAGAGAGAGGGGGAGGTACCAATTTGGCCCTTAGTCCCTCTTCCTACTCCTTTCTAACCATGGCAGTCTCTGACATCCCTTCCAGCTCTGAGCTTACTTCTAGGGGCCACCCCATGTCCTGTTTCTTCTACCCCTGCTGCAGCAGCAAAATCCAGTAATACTTTTGCTGACACCATTCTGGAGTCCTGCCTTACCCCAGAGAATAGTAAGGTGCTCTCTTCTCAAAGAGCCAGAGAGAAGTAGACTTCTGAGGGTTAGCTAATTTCTGTGCTTCTCTGAATCTCTCATGATTTGCCCATCTCCAGCATGAGCCCAGCCTTAACCTTTATTCCTCCCCTGAATGCTCAATCTAGGTTCTGGCCCAGGAGAACAGCTGAGTTGTGAATAAGCCACATACTAAGCCATTAGGAAAGCTGAACTCTGAACACTTCTCAGGGGTTAGTCTTTCACCAAGCCTGGAGAGGCTCCTGGCTGGAAAAGTTTATCCCTCTAGAGAAGGCAACTGTCACATGCTCATGTGGTTGCCTCTGTGGTAGGAGGAGTCCTGATAGGTGTCAGGAGCCAGGGCTGCACATTGTCATCGCCACCTCGGTGAGCTTGGGTAGAATCAGAGCGGGACTGCTTTATGCAGCAGACCACACTTTTCATCCCACCTCCCACAGCTTTCACTACATGGCTTCCCTCTGAAGAAAACTCAGGCACCCCTAGAATAACACTAGAGCAGGGGTGGGTAATTATTTTGGGTGGAGGGCTGCTTACTGAGTTCTGGCAAGCCATCGAGGGCCACATGACAGGCAGCCAGGGGCAGATAAATATTAATTTTCTAAATTTTTAGGGGCCCTGTGGGCCGGATAGAATGACCTGGTGGGCCACATCTGGCCTTTGGGCCACATTTTGCCCACCCCTGCACTAGAGTCTGTATTTTCATGGCTTTTCTCTAACTGTTATTCATGCTGCTTCCTTAGGAGGTTCCCCTCATCGTCTTTTCCTCTTGCCTACACATCAGAGGTCAGACAGCTGGTATTGCCCCCTGCCCAAGCCTCTTACCACAGCATCCTCCACCTCTGCTGTGCCCAGCCTGTGCCCGCTGATGTTTATGACATCATCCAGTCGTCCTGTCAGTTGATAGTATCCTTCGCTGGTACGATAGACACCATCACCAGTAAAGAAAAATCCTGTGGCAGTCAGAAACATGAACCCTTTCGAAATCACATGCCTCTGACTTTGCAAATTACTGTGCAAGCTTCACTCTTATCTCATACCCCTACAGTCTGTAGCATAGTGTCAGCACTGCTCCTGCTCAGCACTCCCCTGGTGTGCTCTGCTTCCTAGCCTGGGTGCTCCCTACCCCCAGTCAACCTCATGACTTCCCCCTCCTCCACCCAGCAATATGTCACTTTCCATTATCACCCTAATTCTAGAATACATTGCTTGGCCTTCCCCTTCTCCACCCCAAGTCTGGGACAGTTACCATAGTGCAACTCTCTTGGGTTCAGTACTCCATTTTATTATTTCATTTTCTAATACCCACTCTCCCTTGACCTTCTCCCATTGCCTCCAGATGAGACACTAACACAGAATGACAGAAGTACCAGGAGGCCCCAGCTGAGCATAGAGGCCCATTGTGATGGGCACTGCACAAACTTAGCAAGAGTCCCCAAGCCAAAGAACTTATGTTCCAGAGGAAAAAGTAGTAAAGGAAACACGGTTTGCATTTTACACAAGGGGAATAGAGGTCTAGGGATATTATAGATTTATCCAAGGTGTTGTGACTACAGTAGAGCTGGGAATTGAACCCTGGTCTCATGGTCTGTTCCAGTGCAGCTATATTTTTTTCCATGTGCTTTGAACATTGCTCAGTGCAGGGACCTGCTTTGCTTCTCCTTTCCCTACAAGTTGTTACCTGGATAAGGAGTCAGGTATGTCTCCAAAAATCTCTTGTGGTCATTGTAAATAGTCCGTGCCATTCCTGGCCAGGCCTGAGAGATGCAGAGGGCTCCAGAGACATCATTCTCTGTTAGGACATTGCCCTGGAAAACATTACCCGTAGGAACAGCTATGGACAAAGACAACCTGCCCTACTAGTCATGGGTCTGCTTTTACTGAATCTGCCCAACAACAACCTCCTAACAGGAAGAGATGTAGAGAGCAAAGGGAGACAGTCTCAGGGAGCTCACCAACAGTGAGGTTACCCCCCTCTACAGTCTCCTTTCAGCATTCTGCCATCCAACTGCTTAGCAATGAGGACTGATCTGTTCTCCCTGGCGGAAGAAACAGGTGCCTGGCCTAGCTTGTTCTGCTCCTCTTCTCCCAGTCTGCTTCCTCTAATTTGCCTTAGGCTCCCATCAGCCTCCTCTGGACACAAGCAGCTCATTTTAGGCACAACTATTAGCACTTTCATTCAAGCACAGCTTCTCTTCAGTGACTATGGGGTTGGAAGCCACCAGTTCAGAATATCCCAAAGCAGTGTTTGTGAGGAATACCTCCTCACTCCTCCAGCCTCAGTCGCTCCCAGGATGGGGCACCATAGAGAGCAGTGCAAAAACACAGGCTGCACTAGAAGGGGTAGCTACCAACTCATCTAAATATAGATCTTCCTTCTGGAGCAGCTGTAATGAATGGACAGGATTTAGAGGGAATGAAAGTTGCAGATCCTCTACATTCAGCTGGATGGGGCAGCATGAGAACATTGACTAAGATAACGTATGCATCTTACCTTGTCATCCAGAAGACAGGGGCTGATACCAAAGAATGGTCGCATGGCCAGACCTGGGCGGATCTCATCTCCAGGGTCAGAGGGACGGGGAGAGATACATATGCCTCCTGTTTCTGAAGTAAATTCAGTCATAACACCCATGAAACTGGAGCACAATGAAAGTCACGTCAAGATACTGATAAATTAAGTTTGTTCCTAAGCCTCATCCTGGCTAGGGTTGCGTGTTAGTACGAAAGGATGACTTTCCCACACCTACACTTGCTGTAAGGCAGGCCCTCTGCTGGCTGTAGATTAGGGGTCTGCAACAGACCCATAAGCCAGATCCAGCCTGTAAAAAGGCCTGATCCAGTCCACAAAGGTTCGAGCTGGCAGTGTCACAGCAAGGGTGGGGGCAAGTGGAGCAACTGCCCCGGGCACCAAAGCAAAGGGGCACCAACAGGCACTGCTCAGCCGGGGTGAGGTGCAGGACGGAGCTGTGAGCAGCTCGTTTGGGGGAGACATCGGGACTGGGGAGGAAGCCTCCCACCGCTATGTGCACTCCCGGGCAAGCATGGGGGGGGGTATGCCCCCT